GTAATAATAATGACAGTACAAAATGGTCATGCACGTTACGTTGTACGTCTATATCATCTGAAAACACACATATCATAGATGCCTCTACCCACCTAAGTAATCATAGTATATCTCACTCCCATCCCATCCCATCCCATGCTCTACAGCAAGTAGGTATCAAGAACATTCTATATAAGATCTTACATCTACCTATCTATGATCCCAAACTCCATATCTTCCCATAGCATTTCTTTCTTATAAAGTGAATAATACTCGGTAACCTTAGGGCGATAAACAGGAGCTAGCTTTTCTGAAAAGTTTTGTTGCATATCTGTAAATGCAAATAGTGATGTGTATAGTTGCTAGCTTGTTGCTAGCGTGCTCTCCATTTGAGAATTCTGATACCAGGCAGGTAGGTAGTAAAGCGATGATCAAGGAAATCCATGGATGGAAATGGAAAGAAATATTTCAGATGTCCACTGCAACAGAATATTGAAAGATACCTATCTAATGGTGAGTTGTTATACAAAGTTACTCGGTGGGCTTGGTAATGTGAAGTAGTGAATTGTGGAGAAAGGTGAGTTTTGTTGCATATCTGCAGGTGTATATAGTGGTTTGTATAGTTGCTAGTGTTGCTAGCTTATTGCTGGCGTAGTAGATTGAACACTTTCGAGTGATTATTAGGAGGATTGGGAGAAGAAAGAAATATTTCAGGTGTGCAACAAATATGTGAATGGAGTTGTTGTGTGAACCTTGGAAGCAAGCTACTTGGTGGGCTCGGTAATGTGAAGTAGTGAATTGTGAGGGTAGATTGGTTTTGTTGCATATCTGTAAATGCATATAGTGGCTAGCTTGTTGCTAGCGTTGCTAGCGTGATAGATTCAAAAAGTTCAAGTGGTTGAGAAAATTAGAAATAGAAAAAAATATTTCAGATATGCAACAAAACATATGAGAAGACCTAGTGGATTGTCATGTGAAGTAGTGAATTGTGAGGTAAGTTGGTTTTGTTGCATATCTGTAAATGTGTATAACTTTACACGGTGTAAAATCCCTACACGGTGTATACATGGTGTAAACATTTTACATGGTGTATACATTTTACATGGTGTATACACGGTGTAAGCTAGCTTACACGATCTCTACACGGTGTATACACCATATACCGGTTACGCATAACTCCACTAAGGAGTGGCTAGCTTGTTACTAGTATCGCTAGCAGTATTCGGTTAAGAATTCTAAGGATACTCTTTGTCTATGAGATGTGCAACGAAACTTATGATAAGGTTAGTAGGTTTTCATCTGAAAGTTTTCGGTGTGTTCTATAGCGAATTGGTGAGTGAATATACGGATTTCATTGTTTTGTTGCAGATCTACAGATGTAGTGCTGCAACTTTATGGCTAGCTTGAGATTTATAGTTGCTAGTGAACGCTTCATTCGGGTTCCTGGCTTTACTAGCGAGGAGTGAGATTTCTCAGATGTGCAACGAAACTTATGAAAAGTTAGGGGATTGTCATCTGAAGTTGTTTGGGTAAACTCTATCGCATAAAGGGGTGGATGGATGAAGTGAGATCGTTTTGTTGCATATCTGAAATCTTTGGACAGCAGCTGGCATGGTGTGTAGTCGTTAGCGTGACCCTGATTCGGCCTCTGAGTGGGTTAGATGCCTATAAATAAAAGGCAATGCTCCTTACTTGGTCGGCCACTTAGAAGAGTTGGCGTTTAAGTCATGCAAAAGACATTGGTGAAAACCTTTTTGTAGTGTTTTAGGTATCGATAGTTTCAGAATCGATATTCAATTGGCTCTAGAAAGACGAAGCAGGCTTCTAGACGAAGTACACGGGATTTTGCAAAACATGCAACAAGGATTTCGAAAGTTAATGGATTCTCATCTGGAGTGTTTGAGATGAAGTTGAAGTAAATTTGTAGAGAATTGTGAATAAAGAAAGATGCTGGAGGTTTGGAATGGCACTTGAGAGACTGCTAGTTATGAGGTGGAAACCTTGCTTTAATACATTGTAATTACTATTTCGAATCATAGCGCCTTCGGATAAAAGATCTCTTGTGTTGTCGCGTGAAGAAATTCTACATTTTTCGGAGAAATTGATGAGGTTCGCATGCTTCGCTGCTGTCCATGGAAGCTAGAATGGACAATGGCATAGAAAGCTAACGGGAAGAAAGGAAAGGCTGTGGCGTTCTAAATCGCCCGACATATCCTGATTTAATATTTAATCTGGTAAGAATCTACGCATATTTCCAGGCCATCTAATGACTAGAGGATAGGTTGGAGATTAGAGGGGCCAATTATTGACAGATTGTCAAATTTCATCCAACAGGCAATGTAGCTTCCTAAGCCTCTCGTACTTGCCAGAACCAAAACATGAACAATAAGGAGAAAGGCTGCATTGCCACTTGCTTCAATGATAAAGCCCTTGGACTGAGTCGAGGCCGCCTACTAATGATACCGGATCAAAGATGATCATCATAGGTCTTGAACCCTCGTCTAAGAGGGCAAGGTAATTTCAGGAGACAGTAACCTTGGGATACCAATCCTCAAAGCCTGCTAAAGTAACTTGGACCACAGATCTTCAGACCAAAGCTAGAGTCATCATTGTATATGAGTAGCGACAAGATAGCCAAAATATCTGAAGTATCAGAGAAGAGATGAAAACGACGAATTCAAACATACCCGGACCAGGCGACTTGAATGGCACAGGAAGATCATAACCTCGAGAATGAAAATGGAAGCTTAACTTGTGACCAGACCAAACACACCTCGAATAATTATAAAATCCTCAGGCACTAATGCCTTACTCTCCCTGTCTCCTCAATCTCTTAATTCTGATCCGCAAGTGCACGGCCCAGCCTCGCGCAAAATAATTCCCCAGACGCGACTCCCCATCGCAATCAATCCATCAAGCTTTCCCCCTCCTTTCAGCTATAAAATTACAACCCATCAACAATGCCCTCACCAACCCCCTCACCCGTCCCCCGTGGTCGCTCCCGTGTACGTTCCCGTTCACGAACCCCAGATTCCAGCGCATCACGCTATACTCGGTCGCGCAGCCGTTCTCCACGCCGTTCAATTTCACCTCGTTCTCGATCTAGATCTGGGGGTAGAAGTAGGAGTCGTAGCTTGGTGAGCGCAGTTGGTGCTGGTAGAAGTGGAGGCGCAAGATATAGGAGTGAAAGTCGAGGAAGAAGTTTAAGTCCTAGGGGTCGGAGTAGAACTCGAAGTAGAAGTCGAGGGAGAAGTGAGAGTGCTGGATCTGTAGCTGCCCCGCGGAGTACCAAGGTTTGTTTGCTCGCTTTTATTTTCTTCTTCTCTCGAGAATGGAGATATTTCAAGCATTACTTTTTTTTTTTTTTTGGTAATTGGAGTTTGATATGCAAATACTAACAATCAATTCTGTTTGCAGGTTGTGATTGAGAAACTTACAAAAAATGTTACCGAAGATCATCTTCGTGAAATATTTGGAAGTTTTGGCGAAATCAAAGATCTAGATGTGCCAATGAACAGAAATTGTAAGTTGCACATTAACATTCTCTGCATATCATCTCATCTTCATACTCTACCATCCTAATGTATAAATTACAACGAATATGACGGCTAACATTTTTGGAAAGTCAATACCAACCGTGGTACAGCTTATATTCTTTACGTTTCTTCTTCATCCGCCGAATCTGCGATAGCTCATATGCATGAATCACAACTCGATGGCGCCGTTATAAATGTATCAATCGTCTTACCTCGCCGCAAATTTAGTCCACAACCACCCATGGCCCGTCGGGGAGTAAACATTGATCCTAGAATTCCAATTGGTAGTAGGAGTTCTCGTGGCGGCTTTGAATCTAGGGGTGCTGGGGGTGGAATGGGGGGAGGCGGAAGAATGATGGACAGGGAAAGAGACAGAGGAGGTGATACTTATAGACCTGGCGAGAGAAACCGTGAGAGGTCAAGAAGCCCCAGAAGACATAGGACGAGAAGTCGAAGTCTAAGTAGCCGATCACGGTCAAGATCCCCAAGGAGAGACAGAGGGAGAGATAGGAGAGATAGTTTTGGAGGTCGCGGAGGTAGAGGTGGCAGGGATAGAGATGGAAGCAGGGATGGGAGAAGAAAGAGAAGTCCTAGTTATAGTAGCTATAGTAGCTATGATGATCGAAGTCGAAGTCCAAGTCGAGTTCGAGGTGGAGGTGGAAGGGGAAGACGTTGAGAATGAGGTTGAGATGAAGTTAAGTCTCCAAATTATTGCAGCAATCGGGAGGAATTTAAGCACCGACAGGAGGCCGAGATTTTGCCAAAGGTTGATGGAGAGATGAGAGGGATTTGGAGCAAAAATGTACAAAATATTTTCTTTTTATCAGCTGGGTTACTATTGTAGTGTAGGTATGGAGCGAAGGAGTTTGGGATTTCGTGATGAAAATGGATTAGCTAGCAAAAGGAAGAGAAATTATAATGAAAATTTAAAGCTTATTCTGGAGCGTAACGAGCGTTACTACTCTCAGTTATATCTGTCATGTTATTTAACATTATGTGAGAAAGATTCTGTCGTCTTTTAGACTTCGGTTCTAATGTACAATCTCCCCACCCATGACATATATTTCAAAGACGATTCATTCCTCTTTCGGGAGTCATAAGCTAAAACAATGGCCACGACGAGTCGAAATCGATGAAGGCTAAAAGGTTAGTATCAAGACTTTCAACATATCTCCATACCAGCCGATCAATTGGTCGGTTGTTCGAAATTGGCGCGGAATACACCTCTCCCCAACTTGGCACTCAATTGTTCATCACAAGTTACTTAGCAGTAGCATAGTGCGGCCGAATTAAGTAATATCAATAACTATATGCTAGTGATCATACTCCTCGACATTTGGGCTCCCTTAGATCCTTACCTTTGTCAGCACAGATGTTCCAGATCCCGATTGACATAGTGTGATATAAGGTAATGACTTCGTTCCTTTGTATTCTCACAATCAATTATTCGCGGCTACATCAACGTGTCATCCATACACTCTCATCATGACGAACGAAAACCCCGACGTCACAGAGCTGTCTGCTGCTCCCACTGCCCAACTTACGATAAGATACTCTCCAGTTGACCTCATCAAATCACCCACTGAGAAACTCAGATCATCAAACCAAAAGATTTCTTTACCTGTCGAAATCATGCTATCCATTCTCGAAATGACTGTTGAACTGGAGCCTCGGATGATTCGTCTTGGGTGTCATCACGACAAATTCCTCAAAACCATTATCGTGAGCGACAGCCCTGCTCAGTTTCACGTTACCTTGAAATTGAGAGAATTGCTTCTAACCTCCAAAGTCCTGATCTCAAAATCATTGATACCTAGCGAAGAAGTGATCCTCACGTAGAAACCATACTTTCGGCTCCCAGAATCATGCTTCAGTGCTGAGATTGACACTTTGCATGTCAGCACACAACTTTACACCATGCTCAGAACCGAAGTTCCCTGGATGCATAATTTCAGACACATGTTTGAACATGTTAAACGTCTGTCTCTCGACCATACTTCGACCGATCAAAGCATATTCCTAAGTCGCTTACGCTTAGATTCCCCAAAACTGGAACGGTATTCCGTGCGATTTGAAACCGGTCAAAACCTCACAGATCATGATATAGTTCGATGGGTCGAGACTTACCGGAAGCTTGGGCGCGAGCTTCATTATACAATGGAAGTTCAGCTCGATTGGAGGATGAGAACTAATGGCGTTACACTATACTATGAGCACAAAAAGTTCCCTTGTGGGCACGTCTCTGCTGGTCGCTTATCGTTTCTGAGAAGTGCGAGTCGTATGTCACGGGAGTGGATTCCTCCTGCCATATCGAAGACCCGGCGCTTGTCATGTCAGAGTGGTGTGGGTATTGGGGTGCGAAATTCCTGTTTTCATGTCAGGGGGTGGGATGGGATGGATGGATGATAATCTCTAGTGAGGAATGAGGGATGATTCGATTGTGGATCGTGGGAGCTGGTGTATCATATTCTCTTGAGCCGGGGGACGCGTGGGATTTGGTGCTTGGAGATGTGGTTATTGTGAGGAAGAGACAGGGGGAAGAATGGTTTAACGAATTGAAAGGGTTACTGTATTGTTTAATTTGTAGGAATGGGGGGAATGGGAATACACATGTTTTGGAGAGGTTAGCGAGGGGAAGAGGGAGAAAATTGAGAGGGGAGATAGAGACGAAGATAGAGATGGAGATAGATATGGAGATGGAGATGAAAGAATGAGTGTGCAGAGGAGATTGGAGGAAGATGAATCTACAAAAAGTATTTTGGAAATATGAGCATCTGGGCTGGAGAGGAGAGAAGAGAGAGAAGAGAGAGGATATATAATACATATATACAAGACATGAATTAAAAAATCCATAACACAATTACTACACATGCGTTTTGCTTATCTACTCACGAGATATTCCGAGGAAAGAAGATTGCTAAGATAGATACTAGGAAGTGGAATATGGGTTAGAGCTTATTGAATATAGAGTATCTAGTATATATATATTAACAATGGATATCCATCTAATTGCAAGATATCGAGAGATACAATACAATGGATTTTCGAATTCCCTGGCAGGGGGAATGCGTGGTTTGGCTGAGAAGGGGAGAGAGTGTAGAGTAGATAGATAGAGGGATTTCTAATGAACCATATCAACAATTCATGTCAACTCCAACATCTCATTTCTCACACTCTCTCTCATTTCATCTCACCTCACCCCACCCAGGGAACTGAATATCGTAATAAGTGTATTTATGTATTTATTATTCAGGGCAATAAACAAAATGATATTCGCTACCTAGAACCATATCCTAAACCCCAATCCCCGAAGCCAATCATCTTGATATCAAACTCCTCCCTCACTTGTGAAATGACTTGACCTTCTCCATTTCATCCCAACTACCCATAAAGATACCGGATCTGTCGTGGATACTCTCGGGTACTACTTCCATCATCCTGTCCATTTTGCTGTTCAATGCTTGACCACCGGCTGGAGATATTGTGTTAGTGTTCTGTGTGTAAATGCAGGGGTAGAAAAGGAAACGTACCATTTTCAAAAACCATAGCCATAGGTGCACATTCGTACAAAATTCTCAATTTACCCTTGGGACTCTTCTTATCCGCCGGGTAGGCGAAAACACCCCCATATAGCAATGTTCTATAAGCATCTGCCACCATACTTCCGATATATCTTGCGCTATAAGGTTTTCCGCCTTCTTTCTCAGGGTACTTTAGCGAGTTAAAGTAGTTCTTGGTGCTATCTTCCCAGTAAAGAGAATTTCCCTCATTGACCGAGTAGATGGATCTCGATTTAGGTAATTTCATATCGGGATGCGTGAGGATGAATTCTCCCAACGCATTGTCCATGGTGAAACCATTGACACCACCTCCCTTCATTGTAATAACTAATTGGGCCGAGGCACCGTACATGGTGAAACCTGCGGCGATGAGCTCGGTTCCGGGCTTGAGGAGATCTTCCTTGGTTCCTGTAGAGCCTTCTGCGAGTTTATGAATACCGAAGATTGTGCCAACGGAGACACCAGCGTCAAGATTGGAGGAACCGTCGATGGGGTCGCATGCTACGGCATAACGGGCACCTTTAGCTTCGGGGAAGAAGATGGCTTCTTCTTCCTCTTCTGAAACTAACACGGCGCATTTTCCGGAGGATTTCATGGCAGCGATGAAGAGGTCATTGCCAATGACGTCGAGTTTCTTTTGGTCATCTCCAGTGATATTGCTCGATCCTGCGAGACCGGTTAAGTTGATGAGGGTTGCGCGACGGATATAGTATGCTATCGATTTGAAGGAAAATTGGAGGGCATGGCAGAGAAGTCTGGTTCTTGTTAGTTTTCTGCAGGTTTAGAGAGTTGGATCGTGTAGATGGCATACGTGAAATCTCCCGTTGCTTCTTTCACTTTTGTTTGTTCTTCGGTGAGGAATCTGGTAAGAGTGATAATATCTGTGTTGATATGCTCTGTTGAGCCTTGGTCGCCGCCGTGAGACATGTTGAGATTATCGAGTAGGAATCTTTTTGAATTGTTTGATTGTATAGACAAATAAATAGAAAAGAGTTGTCGAAGGGAGTATCAAAGTACGGCGCCTGTTGTTATAAATACTGGACCTCGGGTCTACACGGGTATGAATTCCGGAAGCAGTATTCGATAATTAAGATAGAACGAGCACGCCGATGGACAGATGGTCTGTAAACGTGGGGAAAAGGAGGAGGAAATAAAAGGAAGAAAGGAAGAAAGAAAGGAAAGGGAGGGAAAAGGGGTAATAAGTACTTTTTTTGGTATTTATTCTTCTGATATCATACCTGTTGATTACTATGGGAATTGGATCGTCGAGTTGCAATGCTCCATTGTATTTCCAAGCTGTGAAGGAAGAAATATTGGAGCTGGATGATCTACTGTACCCGACTCTCCAACATGACTCTCCCACACCGAGCCACAATGCTAGAATATCCTCGTTTGATAAGTTTGTTTTGTTATTACCTTGACACCTACCTTACCAACTACCTAGATACCCCGATATGATATGCTACGCTCTCATCTCTCATCTCCATCTCCATCTCTCCCTCATCCCTCATCCTCATCCCTCACCTCTCACCTCTCTCATCACATCCATATCACACGTCCCACTGGAAAGTTAAGTGGCTTTTTAAGGTCCCCCCCTCGAGCCCCCTTCCCCCCCCCCCACCCCACGAGCCCCGCACTCAGGTCCCGTGTTGTATTTGCTTGGTTGCCTCGTTGCTTTGTTCATTCAATGCCCCGCGCTAAAAGGATCGGAGGAATGGGGGCCGGAAGAGTCTCAGAGTATAATTAAACACGGGAAACGTAATACCGGTATGCGGATTTGTTGGGCCAGCTGAGTGCAAAATAAGGGCCTGGTATATACCTCGTCGTAGTATTGGGTAAAGGAAAAGAAAAGGAATGATTTTCCGGTGGAATGAGAAATAGATTCCATATGGTTGGTAATGTCCAAAAGTCTCGCCCTGGACCATGACACCGAGGTAGGGATACACACAGTCCAGCGTACAATAAACCGTACAGTAATCACAAATTCCAACGTTTGGTAAGTTATAATAATAAATCCGCTTATCCTAGGTATAAAGATTGGTCTGGAATTATTGTACATGATAGAGTTATACGGGCGAAACCGGGCTTCGGACGGATATGTCATTTGTCTTTCCGTTCGCAAGAATGTTTTTCCATTATAAATTTGAAGGTAGGAGAATATATATAACTGGGTGTACGAGTATATACCTAGTAGCTGGGTACCGGTACCTTTCTACCTAGACCGGGGTAACCACCAATCGACCAATCGTGAATTTGATCCTTTTTCATTGGTGACATATCATGAGATGAGATGAGAACGTTCATTACAGAGCAACCGCACATTGCACTTTTCGGCGTTACATGAGAAAGGTCGGTGAGAACTGGCAAAACAATACAATCACCGAAATGAATAGTCATATCACGTGACTCTGAATCATAATCGATTCGGTGTGATTAACTCGATAGAGCCTCAGGTTATGATAGCTCGAGGATAGCTCGGATAGATCCAATGATGAACCTCAGGCTCCAAGAATCCTGCGCTAAACTTTTCGAGCTAGTCTTTAGCGCGCGAATGAAATTTTTTAAGCTACAAAACTCTGCCTCTTCTTCAAACTGTCCAAATTATTCTTTTCAACCCAACATCAACCTCTGCTTCATGCAGTATGGATTGGATTGGATTGACACAACTCAATTCAATCCAATCCGGTTCATCATCAATGGTAAGCGCTTCTATCTCTTCTTCCCTTTCCCTTCACTATGTGATGACAAAACAACAACCGCAAACTAGAGTCTTTGATCCTACGGGAAATGAAACTTTTGTAACACGTCAGTCTGATATTGGATCACAATTTCACTCATTTGAGCAATTTCATGAATAGAATCATTGCTAACAATTGAGATAGATATCAATCCAATAACTCTATGCCATTTGCAATTGCTACAGCAAATTCCCGGATTTAACCTTGGCTCATCATATCAATTGTAAGCTTCACTTTATCCTCTCAAACTTTTCTTCCCCCACCCCCATATACAATTTGTGATGATGATCAGTTTATGCTTTTGCATGCTGGAAATTACCGACTGAAGCTTTCGGGCTTTTGACGACAAAAAAGGCTGTAACTGAGCAAATTTTTCAATTCTATTTAATTTGATGATTCTTTTCTTCCTTGAATTGATGCTAATTATATTCTAAGACTAGATGAGCCCTTCAAGACAAGAGGTACGACACATCTCTCTTCACTTCCACTATCTCGCGACTGCATAAAATGATGAATGGCACTGGGCTCCGACAGTTCCAAAACGGTTCTGGTCTTGATGGATATGCCATTTTGTGGCAGGCCTAGAAAACCTCGCCCACTGATTTCAGTCATCTTATCAGCATTTGTTGTACACATGTTTGATAAATGGTTTCTGATTTTGGAAGCATAGATTTGATAATCTCTTGGGTACCCATCAGGTGTTCCAGGTCTTCATTGACCCTGGTCATCAAAACCTCCACGAGGGCTGTAGCATCAGGTAAATAGACATTTTCTTTTAAATTTCACACATTTTATGATGAGCATTTTTAGATGACGAGTCTGATTGGAGTTTTCCATGTTGACAACATCAAAATTATACCATTCATGCCTTCTGAATTTTGACGAAAAGAATTTACTTGTTATTGATCATGTCAAGGCATGTGCTAACGTTAAACTGTTAGAATTCTGAATTGCTGCAATCCTCGTGATGGCCAACGTTGTGGTACCAACTTATTTTGGTAAGAAATTTTCTCTCATATTCCTGACAGCCCTCGAGCATTCTGATGATATCGATCGACAATGACAAGCATATGTCCAAGCCTCGGCTGTGACGAGCCTATCTTAACTGAATATGCTCATGTTATCATACACTGTTTAAATCAATTCATAGCCATTACTAACGACTATCCTTAGATTTTTGGATGCCATGTCCTATCAACCTAAGTTGAGATCATTTCGCATCATATTGCATGGTGCTACTACCTGACTTGGGCTCTACATTTTTGGTATGTTATCACTGACTTTCGTACGCTCATTATCCTCACTCCTTAACATGATGATTAATTTATCACGACGGTCGACATATCCACACGTTGGTAATTGATGAAACTGCCTATGACTAGGCTTTTGATCTGACATTTCATTTTTCTCTACACTTTTTCACAATTGTTTTATGATAGAATTATCACTAACAATCTGAAGATATAGGAAACCACCATGCTTGAATGTAGCCCATTCATTCCCGTTCATACGGATAATTATTTTCATTGCGATGCGTGGCTTGCCATGTACGTGAAGAAGATATCCACATTATCTCTTCAAAACAAAAATTATATTCATTGCTTTCGTGATTATTTTATCACGTCGTTTTCTGTTCAGACATGCCTATGAATCGGTCAAGCTTCAAGGTCTTGGCACAAAATGTCTATTTGAACTACTGTGACTTACCTCTCCACAGATATCTATATATCTATGAAGGAATACTCGTTTCATGTCTGTATCATAATCCATTCCCAACCCATAGTATGACCTGACACCGTTACTCTTTGCGTTATGTGACCAATTCCCGCTCAAAATATCAAGATACCCCCATACCAGCCATCAATTCCAAAGCATGTAAAAGTAGAACCAAAACCAGACCTCCCAAAGCCCTTTAGACCTCCCAACACACCCCTTGGTATCATTTGCCTTGCCGTCGCCATAAAAGGACTCACGCCACCCTCACCCCTTTGGATCATCTGCAGAATCATCTACAATCAATTAATGTAAAACCTGTCCATCGCTCGGGAACGCATTATCCAACGCCATGTAATCCAGCAAATCCATACCACCCACGTTAACGCCATCCGCCGTCTGCGTGATGTTTACCTGACTATTGAGATCTTGATAGAAGGCGGATCCGGGTGGTAAATACCACATTTCGTCGCTACTATTGTTGTTACCCCAATCGTTGCTAGAGCCTGACATGCCGAACATGGAATTGATGGAGTCACTGTTGAAGTTTGGACCACCGTGAGCTGCAGGGTAATGCGTGCCGGCGTAGAAATCTCCTTGGTTGAGATCATAGGGCGTGGCGGAGAGATTGAGATCTATGGGATGAAGTGGTTAGAGTAAGGATTTGGGAAGGGGTATTGGTGATTCAAACTTACCTGGACCATTTACATGGTAATTGGGCATGCCATCATTCCAATCTCGAACCGGATCAGCTGGGCCACGTCGCAACTTATTCGGATCTGCGTCATGAGGTGGTGCGGGAGTGCGACTTCTACTTGCAGGTTCTCCTGAGAGGGGAGGTGCTTCGGGGGCGCTAATGAAGCGACTACGCAGACGCTTGGTCAATGTCTCCAACAGTTCCGCAAAGCGAATGCCGAGATGGACGTCGTCGACTACACAAGTACGAAGCGCATTGACCGCAGAATCCATGAGGCTGATGCTGATCTCAACATCATGTTTAGATGCTCCTAATGCGAAGGTTTTCAACAAAAACATGGCACCACTTATGATCCGGAAATATGTTCGAACAGGAGCATGCTTCAGGTAATCGTTTGGTAGAAGTCCCTCTACGACGGTTCGTAATAGGTTGCGGCATCCCTCGACAACTTCTCTGACATATCCCTGATCAGTCGCTCCAAAACCACCGAGTCTCGCTAATGGTAGCTTTCCGAAGTAATTTTGTGTCTCTGGGGACATGGCACTTCCTAGTGGTAAACCTGAATCATTGGAGGTGTTTGTTCGATTGGTTGCATTGCTTGTGCATCTTTCAACAACAGCCTGCAAAGAGAGAGAATTTATGTATATCCTGACGTACTCGTACTCTATAGTCAGAATATGTCGAATGTAGAGAGGCAATCCAAATCTGTCGAATTCTCGTTTCCACGAACTTAACATTGGTTGAAAATCCTTCAAAAGATCCGTGTAGCTACCATCCTGGATGATTTTGGTCGTGTATTGCCTAGATCTAAAGATCTTTTCATTGCCCATGCGCATGGCATTACTAATCCCGGCCCAGCAATGAATAATCTGATCATCCAATTCTAAATCGGGAATGTAATTAAAATTTGTAACAGAGGTTGTGTTGGTGTCGGGGGTTTTACCATCAATTGATAGTCTACGTTTTCGTGGAGCAAATGCAGGATCAGTTTTCCGCAGGTGTTCAGGAACCATATTGGTCCAACCTAAACGTCCAGCTAATTGCGTGACATATATTAGTACCAGTCGCTTGATTCTCGCGGCTCTTATTCGATATGACTCTTCGTTGTATTCTGGTCGTGTCATTTCTCCACCATCAGCCAGCGACTCGTCAATATCATCAAAAACACCCAATTCGTAGCCGAGACCCATGGCGGTACTCAACAACATCCAGCACATTCGATCACTTCTCCAGGCAGGTTCTAGCCAGCCTTCGATTCTTCGCCCGCCAACACCGCCAGGTAGATGGTGTTTGCCTTCTTCGTCAGTAGTGAAAGCATCTTCCTTATCAGGAACTGGTAACATGAGTTCATCAGTGGCTTCCGCAGGAGGAAAGTGCAGAGCACGCGGATGCCACTCTGTCAAGATCATAAGACTCTCAATTGTACCGAGAGTACGAAGACTGCCTTTCCGAAGTCCTCTCCATGGTGCAGTGCTTGATGTGAGAGAAGCCTCCGCGCCGGAACCACAAAATCCACCACCGAATGCTTCTTGGCCCCACAGACATCTCTCGATCATGCCTCTCAAGTAAGTCCAAAGCTGTTCATGGATCGCGTACGATCTAGAATGCCCTCCAGCTCCAGACATTTCCATGTACCGACTTGAGATTGTCAATAATGTCACTGTGAGAATTGGTTCTTCGACTAGAAGCATAGGATGAGTGTAAGGCTCTTTAAAAGTAGGGGGAGAGATAGGTGTTAGTGGCGACAAGAATTCGTAATAGCTAACTCAATCATTAGTCTGGTTGCAAGTTAGAGCAATGGAAAAACTTACTATGTGATGTATTGAATAGCTTCCGCTGCGGTGAACCATCCTGCGCGAACAAATCTAAATCTTGACCAAGCTTCAATTGCATCCTGATATCCCAGATCATGATCTTTGTCTAATGGACCGGTATCGCCAGTTGACAACGTAGGATCAATGGAAGATTCCGTGTGTGTGGTTGTGTGTCGCATATGGCTTATAGGAAATGAAGTATGCTGAGTTGCAGGGCCTTGATAGCTCTGAGAGGCAGATTGTGCTCTGTGGCCAATTCTTGGAGATTCTTGGCTATTACTATCTAGTCGTGCTCTTTTGTGACCTGGACTATAGAAGAAATTAGTACAACTCTTCGTGACGATGATGTGTCCTTGTAAATCCAGCCAATTGCAAAACACCAGAAGCATTTTCTCTCGTTGGGTTTGTACATAAAAAGTACAGCAATGCGAAACAACAATTGGGATATGAATTGCTCCAGATGAAAGGTCTCAACGTACCTATCAGTAGCAGCCTTGTAAAGAAGATCCAAAGCATCATGAGGGCCATAAACCTCCTGTCTCATAACTTCTTGCGCTTCTGGGTTCTCTACGTTCTGATCTCTTTCTTCTTGTTGTCGCGATTCCGATTGAGGTCTTCGTAGAGGCTGAGTTCTTCCAATAGAACCACCTGGCGTAAGAGGAGGTCCAGGATCCATGCGCGCACTATCAGCAAAGGCGTTGCTTGTCGATCGAGCAGAAGGGGGAGCTCCCATGGAGTTTTGTCTGAAGGTTGCGGGGGGAGAGCCGGAAACCATCTTTCGACCATTGCGCGTCACATAGTCATCGGCATATTCATCTTCAACACTATTTTCCCTACTGCCATCCGCCTTCCTCTTTCTTCTCGTGGCCGAAAAGAAACATTCTTTACTTTCGCGTCGGCATCGTACACAGGGTGGATCACTCGGATTATCGACACTTCCTAAATCACATCTCACTTTGCGACGACGACTGCAATTACAATTAGCCTTGAGATGAGACATGTAAATAGGGTCAATTACCATGGGATGCAAGCTTGATAAATTCTCTTGTGATTTCCTCCTACTGAAATGTCAGTCTACATGTACAATGGCATTGTGCGACCATGGCTAATTCCAAAGAATGTCTCCAGGTTTCTCCACTAACCATTCTGCAACTTGGATTGCTGCTGACCAGTAGAAGATGTGCCATTAGTACTAGGCTCACTCGGTTTCTCCTGCTGTGTAAAATTGGTCGCCGGCGCCGACATGATAATAGCAAAAAGAGTAATAAGCTTAGTTGTGTAAATGATCGAAGCTCTTTCGCTTTCCTACGGTTTAGGCTTTGCGATATGTTTCTTTCCCGAGAGATAAGAATGCCACAACCCGAACTGATTGACCGACAGACCGACAGCAAGGAACTTTTTTTCGGTTTTAATCAGCCTACTCTGTGCTTGGTACTTAGATAAGATAATCAAAAAGGAGGGGCTGTCCTCAATTGTTTATTTTGATCCCTTTGATATTCGAGTAGATTGAAATATTAAATCATTGATTGGTAGAAATCAAAACTTTGGAAGTCTTGGGATGGATACTTAAAATGGAGAAAGAATTCGAGTTCAGATTCCGAGTAGGTGTTATTATTAAGTTCTGATAATGTTTCATTATCCTCTTGACCTCCTTCCTTGTATTGGGTAGATTTACATACAAAAATGTGTTTTTATCTAACTGTTTTGGGTGAAGTTGCATACCCG